TGTATTTGTACTTAATAAGTATCAACGTAATTAATAAACAAACAATGAGCACTTTCGTTCATTGTTTGTTTAGCGGCAACGCAATTTTCTTTGGCATTCAGTTTCTTTTTTTGTCTATTTAATTAATTTGTCTAAAATTATTATCAAGATAATAAACTCGTTAGTTTCTTTGATTGTCACCGTCTTGATGATGAGATATGCTATGTATTTTGTTAAAAATCATCGTCGATCTGAATACAGCGCCGTCAGAGCATAAAGCTTCAATGAAATAAAAACCTTTATTACCTTTGGAGTAGGTTTTATTGTTTAAACTTCTATGGCATGACAGCGTTGTATGTAACTGCACGTAATACTATTAGTGATTTTTGTAATAAACAGTGACAAATTTCAACGTTGAACTCAACGCTGTCATAGATTTTTACATCTTACAATCACTATTTAACATAATATACAAGAATAATAGTCTCCTAACTTGATAATAGAGCTAAGTATCTGTACACAACACAACATAATCTATATAGATGAAATATTTTAACATAAATAAGAAAACTTAGGTTTAAATTTATGTTACTGTTTTTTGCAACCATACGTTTAATTTGCATAAAATGATTTTTATTTTGCAAATATTATCATAACCTTAAATTAAAATTGGTTTTAAAATTTAAAGTGTTATTTTCGTAAAACCTAACCTTAAGGCATTGTACCTATAGATATAAAGCAGACTATGAGATCTTTTGAAGTTATTTGTAGACCGTGTAACGAATCCCCGTAGGTATTGCATCTATTAACAATGTAGTCGATATGTTATTCTCTATATTAAACCTTTATAGTCTTAAGTCGATTTTATTTGATTGTAACTCCTTGCTGTAACAGCACTGTGCTCGCCGTCGAGTTTGATACTGTTTTATTATAAATTAGCAAAGTTGCCGGAGCACGAAACTAGACACACCGTTAAAATTACGTGCGAAAGTAAGTGCGGAATGGTATTGGTATAATGGTATTTATTAAAATAATATTTATTTAAAAAAATTATATCATTTTCAATTAAATTCAATAGGAATTCATTAATATATATTACTTATAATATAATAAAGCTGAGGAGTTTGTTTGGTTGAACGCGTTATTGAGGAAGGCTATAGGCTATATAATATCACGCTATGACTAATAGGAGTGGAAAAGCAATGTAAAATGTTGCAAAAATGGGCAATACCAGGCGAACGACGCCGCTGGCAGAAAGGTATGCTAGAAAAGAAAAATATCTCCCACATCATAGAATCCCAATGCCCTATCTATACCATCATGCGTTTTTATACTTTTGTTTACTGAACATCAAGTATTCTCATAGAGTTATATAGTCCTTGACCATTAAATCTTAATAATGTTCAACCATCAAACTTTTCAATCTATAAACTAACCTTTTTGGTTGAATTTTGACCACAAGATAACCACTATTATAAAAAAAATGTACTAACTTACGACCCGCCTCTTTCTTCCTGGTTAAAAAAAATGTCCTCACGGCTCGTAATGAAAATTTGTAAATTGGCTGAATCATTCAAGGAAGAAACTGCTATGTCACACGTTTTTAGTAAAAAGATATTCCCGGAAGGGTAGCGTTTTAAACCGCTATTAAAAAAGTCCTATTTCCTTATTTTCCGTTATATCAAGATTAATCTAGAGGAAGTCTATTTGGTTGAAATACGTTTATACGTATTTTTTCTTTTGAATAGAGAATGAAATTGCCTAATCTCACGGTCATTTCAAGTATTTCGCTAAGGAAAGTTTTGGCTGGTCTGTTTTGGGTTAACGGCGCGAAAAATTTATCTTGAGAAAATTAAAGTGACGGAATGTGTCAGCCCGGACTGTTAGAATCCATTACTTATTTTTTACATATCATTACAATTACAAATAACTATAATAATATTTAAAATATTACGTGTATAAAAATTTGTTATTCTAGAAAATATAATGATTATCAATAATTACATAGTATAAAACAAAGTCGCTTTCTATGTCCCTATATCCCTATGTATGCTTAAATCTTTAAAACTACGCAACGGATTTTGATGCGGTTTTTTTTCATAGATAGAGTGATTTAAAGGGAAGGTTTTTATGGATAATACAAGACCATGCGGGTGAAGTCGCTGGCGGAAAATACTATGCTCTAAAGCTAAAGCACTTTTAATACGCAGTATCTGTGACAACAAAGGTATCACTGCACCTAGACCCGAAACAATATAGAAAAGTTCATTTTGTACATTAACCTGACCGGGTATTGGACTCAGGGCCTCAAAGATTGCGGCTCATTGTGTATTCAAATATTTTGTTTGCGTATGTGATTTACCGTCAGTCAGAATAATTCGTTATGTAGTTAAACTTTGCCTGGTAGTTACTCTGTATAGTTGATGTTCTATAACATATACGTGTACGTAAGTATACCTGCGCGTTTACGTGCCGATGCGATTCCCTAAGGAACGCTCGGCTGGCCCGCTCTTGCAGCCATCAATGTCAGTTCCCCAGGTGATTATTAAAACGTCGCGTTGTCGGTACAAACACGGTAAAACTCCGTAAAACTTGTTAATTCACTGAACGAAAATCGTATCGTTTAAATAAAATACAATATATGGTTTTGTATCGAGACATTGGTGGTATATTTGAAATGAATGAATATATATTTTTGTACTTATAAATTTTATTTTAACATTCAACGCTAAATCGTATATCGCAAAAAACAATTAAATCTTTTTTTAAAACAATCATAACAAAAATTTTGAAAATAGTTTTAAAACCACAAATGCGGTTAACAAATTCATGGTATACCTAAAAACATGACTTCATAGGGTAGGTAATTTTGTCAAGGCAAATAGTTTTGTTAATCATCTTAAATAATTGTAAAAAAAAACCGACTTCAAAATGTATGTACCTAATAGCTCTTCTGTAGGTAGAATGTGACGTGAGTAGGGTTACTTTGGTAGAACTATCACCCCTTAGGGATACTTTCTTTTATTAAAGAAAAAGTTAGAACATTTCATTTAATAAGCTACGTAGCTTGTGCTCGCGACATTCATCTGTTTTTGTGTAAACTTCGAAATTGCAGTGTCACGGGAACATTAAAACAGCGCATAAAAGTCAGGTGTTTTAGGATCCCGTACCGAAAAAAAGAAAGAAAAAACCATCATTCCATTTTCTCCGTAATTATAATACCGATTTTTTAAAAGTAAAATAAAATGTATAGTATTTATAGATATTATGTTCTATAAAAAGTGATGTTCACAAATTGAGTATTTGAAATAAAAATAAAATGATACTTATTACAAGACTTAAAAAAGGTAATTTGTTCAGGGGTCTTTGCGAGCGCTTTTATAATAAAGTTCAAAAAGAAGTAAATAAAACAGTTTAAATCTTCTTTAAAATAAATACTTGTTGTAAAAAAGCTTATTGTATCGCGAGTGATTGATTACATATGACTTAGGTGTTCCAGCAATCTTTAGCATATAACCTGTTTTTCGTATTCGACAGTTAAAAATACTACAAAACTTTATTCAAATATAATATTATTCGAAGTGTTTATATCTGTCTTCGAAGTGTGTCTGTGTGTAAATATTCTGTTTTCGTTTATAGCTAAGGCCGACACAGAGACTTTCGAAGGCTTACTGCGCCACTACTGTCTACATTCTCGTTCCACATAAGCAGTCAAGTGACCTTTATAAGTTTTAAGACGGGGTTGACTGAATTCGATAAGGTTAATGCTAACATAAGCGTATAGCGGTGTTATTAGAAAATATATTTCTCCGTAAGCTAAAAGTAAGAAAAATTCAAAATTCACAACTAAAATAATAGGTTTTTTCATCTAGTAAGATTGAATACACATATTTTTTTAAAAGGTGTAATAATACATATCGGTAAGTATATATATATAATAACAAGGATAAGCATTATCACTTAAAAGATCGTGTCGGTGTAAAAGTAATGTGTCAGTTTCATCTGGACATCTGGCCAGAACGTCGTGAAGGGACAATTTTGTACCTTTGATTAATTCGCAGGACAGATTACCTCTGTCCCGCGTATTAAGCAAATGTAATTATATAACCACTACCACACTAACACCCGATTTCTGAACATCTCAAAATGTCCTTAAAAGTCACAAACGGGTTTACGTTTCTGATTTTAGTTTTTTAATGATCAATTGATAGCAGTTTTTTATAACTAGGACTTTTTGCCTTGCATTGAATATAAACAGTTGAGATTCTGTACTTTTCTCAATTCAGAAACCGGCCGTAAATATTTGCAACTTATCCTCATCGGATGACTACCTATAACTAAATTAATTAATGAATGATGAATCATTTCATTTGCATTCATCGCACATTTGCTAGAAATTGTAAACATTGACTCAATTAAACTACAAATACACGTAAAAATATAGACAAAATTATAAAATATTTCACATGAAATCAAAACACACAGGACTATGCAAGGACGATGTAAAAAGGCAAACGCTTAAACATCTAACTGCCGACAGCGGCATGCTGGTTGGGTTTGGACATGTGAAAGAATGGAGAAAATGTGATAGTGTGTTTTTTTATGTATGTACAATAGTAATGGTGTAATAATAGATTATTTAACAGTACCACGTCAAGAAGACGCTTCCCACTCTTCTTCCGAATCATTTCGACCATACTGCTCTCTCCTTATCAGTCTATTTATTGTAGTTTGCGTGTGCACTTTTACTTGTAATGTAATGCTAGTAGTTGTCTAATAAACTAGTTATCTATCTATTTATTAGTTAAGTACTTATACTATAACCGATTTGGAAAAAAAGTGGGCACGTTTCCGTGGATGGCGCTACCTGTACCTTGTGGCTCTCGGTTCTCTCTTTCTACAGGCAAGGGTTTTGCATGAAAATATAGATAGACTATATCACTTACCAAGAAAATCATCTTGGCTCCCCTGTCGGGCGCTCTGGCATACTTGCTTGAAGAAGCGCCCGAGACCTCGCACACCTCGAACCTCGTTCAAACGGGACACCGCGTCCAAAACGGAGCTTTCATCGTCATGGTCCCATATGTCTAGGTGTAGTACATCTGATGATATGTCGTCAATATCACTGCTGGCAAAGAAACATTATTAATAGTAAACTTATTTTTATCTTTTATAAAGCTATATAGATAAGTCTTTATATTTACTCTAAAATATTTTTATATGAATAATGTTGATAATTTTAAATTGCTTTAAATAAATACTTGATAAATCAAGTGTCATTAAAACTCACTTCTTTATGAACTGACATAGAATGATTAATGTTCAATACAACTTATGTTTTTTATTTTATTTTTATAATCGTTTTAGTGAATTTTTAAAGTAGCCCTCTCTTTTTAGACTTATATTGGATATTCTAAAATATTAACGCATGAACATCGTTAGGATATTTCAAATGAAAATGTAAAGTAAGTAAATTTCAAACGAAAAAGTTCAATAATTACGAAATTAATCGATGTTTGATAATCTACAGTCAATTTATTTAGAAAGAGGGTAGAGTAAAATAAAATGCTTACATTTTTTATCTGATTTGAATGAAATAGGTCATAAAATGTGTTCAATCTTGAGATGACTTAACTAAGCCTCTCATACAATACAAAAAGCGATGTAAATTTCGTTCAGAAAAAAAAAAAATATTATAAGTATTATAAATAAAATAGTCCTACAAGACACCTTGACGTTCCAACATCACTGTCTGATTAAAGTTGATCAAACCTTGAACTCAAAATAAAGACAACAAAAAGAAAGGCACCAAATGTCACTAAAGCCATTACTTGAATTACATTCGTCGAATAAGGATTCCACTTTGATCTGTTTTTATTTTTGTCTGTTATTCTATCAGTACTATCAATAAACAAACCTACTAGGAGTAAATATCACTTCCGTAGAAACTCATAATAGGTTACCATTTGCTAAGTCTCTGTTTAATTATATGAATTTTGCATAATATTAAGTGCAGTCTCAGCGTAACTTTACTCCAACGCAATATCTTGTTTATTTATAACACTGTATATGCTTTGTTTTTACTTTCTGGTATTCGATCATAGCTACCGTCTAAATTTCCCCAGAGATGACTACAGTTTCCGACGTAATCACAACTGTTGCATTGTGTCCTACGTTAGAAATTATTGTATTTCGTTTGTAGCAAAATAAGTTTCCCTTAAATGTCTTAAGATAATGAAAGGTGAGAGATCTCCATTCTTAATCTTTCGTTACTAAAGTCTCAAAAATTGCTTTCTAAACGTGATAGACTACCTTTCAATTTCATGACAATTATAATTTCAATAAGTATTTGTTGTCTTTAACAGATTGTCTTTGCTACCTTAACTTTAAAAATTGTAATTAACTATTACTAAATAAAAAGCTGAATTGTTATGAAAGACAATCTTAGAGTATACCTAAAAGCGGTCACAATTAAATTGATAAAAATATTATAAAAGATTGAAGGATAGTATTAATATTAAATGATTATTGTGATGATGATGAAATGACATACTATAGCTGTATCTTTTCTGATATCGATCGTGATAAAATTTGTATCTCATTCTAATATTATAGTTAGTTATCGATAACTCCTACTTATCTCTTAGTAGATATTTTAAGCTTTTCTCGTAATTTCATTATACTAAAAGCAACCAAATACTTAAAAACATAATAGATCTTTCGCAATCACGTAATGTGTCTGCTAGGTAAAAACTGTAATCGGATCAAATGTCGGAGCATTTGAAAATTCCTATCAGAGTCGCACTTCATCAGGCATTAACTTAATGAATAGAAAAGATAAAGACCATAGGAATATCAGCTTTTACTATGATTAAAATGTATGCCCCATTTTTAAAGTAAAAGCATACTTTAAAAATGGGGTATACATTTAATAGATATCAAAAAACGAGGTGTTGTAAGAGACTTCTACAAAACAAAAGAGCAATTTTCTGTGTCATAACAACAGTAGAGTAAACTTAATTAATAATTAATTTTGCTAAGTCAATAGCAAATCAGATTAGACTTTACAAAAGTTTCGTATTTCTACATTCAATTTTAAGTCTTAATCTGTTGATTATATTTGATTAATTTTGCATTGCCAATGCTATACCGAAAATATTCTTGATGATAAATGCTTAAAAAATCCACTTTATCCCTGGCACTCTGATATGGGATTCGAACCCATGACCTTTCGCAATCCGGGCGACTGCTCTAACCACTAAGCTACCCAGGAAAAAAGGTCATGGGTTCGAGTACTATCTCAGAGTGCCAGGGACAAAGTGAATTTTTTAAGATTTTTTTCATTAAGAATATCTTAACCTGATGTCAATAAACTTCAAAACACATTCATAAAAAACGTACAATTTGAATGTCTCATTCCACTTCGGTGACAAAGTGTGTGGTCTAACACTGGTCGCTCGTATGTAGCGCGCCGGAAGTCTGCCGAGACTGTCACGCTGCTGCCTCCCATCCCGCCTCTTGAAGCTGAGCCTGAAGCCGTGTTTGCGGCCTTCATCTTCGGAGGCGCGGGGTGAGGCGGGCAGGGACGCAGGCTGAATACCCAGCATGCAGTACGGATCGCTGAAACCTGTATAACGACAAAAAATCTTTTACTACAATAATAAATATCAACATAAAACAAAGTTGCCAAATCGTGTTAGTTTGAGAAGAGGTGGTAATAAATGTCTTAACACTTCTTACATTTCCTGTTAATTGGTGGTTCTTCTAGTTGATAACATTATAAATACGTTAAGCGGTAGTAGAGTGAGCAGTGGAGTAGTAAATAAGCGCCGCGGCCCGCGCTCGTTGTTATTAAGCATCTTTCGCAAGGGTCAGTTACGAGACGGGTGGCCAAATATTATTCGGAAAACACGTTAAGCCGTTTGTTCCAGCTGCACCTGCAGTCGTTAATACCTTCCAAACCGCATTGAGCCCGCGTGGAAGGTCATGGCCCATCTTCCTTTACCATCCATAAGAAAGGCCTGGAGCCCTTGCCGTGGCGTCGTAACGATGATGACGTAAAGTGGTAATAGAAAATTTATAATATAGTAATTTGAACTATTTTTTAGTTATTTATATTTTTATCATTTTCAAAATTAAGAAATGCCTCTCGATTGATTGATTGGTACTTTTGCTCGTCAGTTTATTTACACCCATGATTTATCTAATATTCCCCAGAAAATTATATCACTTAGTTTTTATTCAAAGCAGGTATCCTGTCCTAATATATTTAGATGTTTAAATATTCTTACAAACATTGCCATATTTGTTTCGTAGGAGGAATGCTTTATGCACTGAATCTGCCGCTTGACAAGCGGCAAGGGGTAAGTGGGACTCTCTTTTTTTACGGATAGTTTAAACTACTATTCAATTTTGAGGGAAGGGTCTGGGATCTAGTCGAGACTGCTCGATACTCAGGTCCCATGTTGACTTATTCCGAAAGTTGTGATCAGGATACATATATATAAAATATATAATAATAATAAAAAAATAAACAATATAAATTAATATTTTTTTATTAAAGTTAGTCGACAGAGTTGAAATGATAATAACAACTCGTGAGAATACGTTTAATATAATAGTAATACAACTAAAACTATTCTATAACCCGACGCTTTGCGGTATTTACCCGGAGCTTTTATAAAACATTATACATTAACAATAGAACAATGACCTTTACAGTTAAATTCTATAAACACTGTTTAATGATTTTGTGCTTCTTAGTAGTAATTAAATTTCCTCTACAACAAAGAAGACTGTTAAAGGTATCTATTGCTGCGTAAGAGATAAATAAAAATGATAATTACCAATTAAAACTATTACAAATATACTGAAATATCATAGGAATTTCATAGGAATACCTAGCATTGTGGATGCAAAGTTTAAAATGCCTATTTGGGCCTTTGTTGATCAATATAATATATACGAAATGATATAATTTCTTTTGTTCGTGGGCTTCATGGGTGAAAGAAGATAAACACTAATGATATTTGCACTATACCCGGAGATGAATGAGTGATTTTTGGCGATATAATTATAACAATTTTTTGGTCACCTATCTTATGACCAGCCATCGCGGAAGTTGCTTAATACCGTATCGTAGGCCGAACGTGCTAACCAATTACCTCTAAAATATTTTTTTTTTTCATTTCTTATTATTATACTCTTTTTGTAGGAAAACTCATCAGTCACTTTGCAGCCAAGAAAATTATACAGCATTTACAATAACCGTAATAGTTTGCGAGTACATCATTAAAAACCGTTTTTGCTGCGTAATTTAACATCCTCTGTCACTATCTCTCATTGATAGGCGCAATAAGATAGAAAGGTACAGTATTTTGGCTTTACGCTTCGCCCTCTCCTAAGCCTTCGTTATGAATTACTCCGTCCTTTGGTGAACGCCATTCACGTCAAGGGTCATCAGGACACTACGTAATTATTCGAGTATATTGTATACCACCATAGAGGCGTGCACAACCTTCATTATTGCGGTTTAAACTGTAATATTATGCATATTATATTTATATCTCCTTGTTTTATTTAATTTTGATATTTTGGCTTATGGCGAAATTTCTATCGACTTGTATTTTCTTGATACTTTTTTTTCCACTTGAGTTTTATTTCAATAGATATTTAAGAACTATCTACACTGAAGATGCCTAGGTGAAATCTTACTCCCTTCTTTATTATAAAGATTTTTAGAGAATATATGCTAATAAAAATGTATAATGTAAATAACTTTAATATTCTTGTTAATCCGCATATCTCACAGCAAGTCTTAAACCTGTTGTTTACCAAAACGACTCTATTTGAGTTCACTAATGCGTTTAACAAAATCAAAATCCTTCATCCAACGACTAATTTGTGGGCCATCGAAAGTACGCGTCTTTACCTTCTCCACATTTAGCTCAAAGGACTTGTTTGAAAGGTAAGCAAAACATTCGCCATCTTTGTTAAGCGCCCTTACAAAACGTTTCACCGTGCATTGGTTTATTATAAATGTTTCATTTAAGATGGAGATAGTACAATTTTTGTTGATTTAACTATGCTAGTTGTTAATTTTAGAGACATCTGGTGGGCACATTTTGCGAATCCAATGATTTTTATAAGACTAGTATAATCTTTACTAGCTTTCCGCCAGTGGCTTCGCCCGCCTGGTCTATTATTATACATAAAAACCTTCCTTTTGAATCACCCTATCTATGAAAGCGACTTTGTTTTATACTATGTAGTAATAATAGATGTTGTATAACATATATAACATTGATTTTTAGTATAACCTATCTGTTGTCCTAAAATAAATTTTCGTAAATAATACAGATATGATCAATGTATTACTGTTATGTTCAATTAGAAAGTGACTTCATAGTCTAATAATTAATTTTTCAATTCGCCTTCTCTATGAACAAAACATTGAGAAAAACAACTCTATCTATATTTCTAGTAATTAAGTAGAATATTTCTCTGTACAAGGTTTCCTGCAATAGATTTGTGAATGGAATAGTATTTCGACGTTCACAATTTTTATCACTGCCTGGACTAAATAAATGTTTTTTTATAGGTATTTTAGTTGCAGAACTTGGGGAACGGTTGTACCTATATCAGAGTGGAATATCGAATGTGTACTTATATAGGATTCATATTTTTACAATAGAACGCGCTCCGCTTTCTCTTTACTAATGTTCATAAACTCCACATATTTCATTGAATTTATAATACCTACTTAAATATGAACAAAAATTGTTTTCGAAACAAGAACAATTACTTCTTAATAAAATTAAATAAGATTTGACAGTTGGTCACAAAATACATCACTTTTTTTTAAAATAGTGTACATCTATATATATATATGTACACTATTCAGCATGTTTTGCTTAATATTCAGCATGCAAAATACAAAAATGCTAAAATTAATCACTGTTAGAATAATTATTGTATATAGTAGAATTGTTTAATATCATATTATATAATAAAATTTAATCTATTAATATATACGATTATTGTTATGTAATTCTGTAACCATTAAGTCGTTGTTCGGCTCCAAGCCATCATAATGTTCTTATGATAAATTATTACTCTAAAGGATTTCACATAAGGATTTATAAGGCACTCCTCGTTATATGACCCGTAAAACCCGGTGAAACGTGCTTAATTGAATACTGTTCAACTCTTGTAACATCACGAAGCTATAGAAACAAATCTCTTTTGAATAGAAAACAATATTATAACTCTCTCTGCGCTGCGTTTATTGTAATTAATCGCACCTACTTCACATAAAGTAGTTGAACTGAAATGCTTAGAATCAATACATTTTTATGACTAATTTTATTATTATTATTATACATGTGTTTCATCGTGTGAGTGAGGGTACCGGAGGCCCAACCCCTCCCTATTCCCTTCCCTCTACCCCTCAACCCTTCTTTCTAAGGCCGGCAGCGCGCTTGTAGCCCCTCCGGTGTTGCAGGTGTCCATGGGCGACGGTAATCACTTACCATCAGGTGATCCGTCTGCTCTTCTGCCCCTATGCCATTAAAAAAAAAACATTTCCAAGCTACAACACTTTAACGAGTTAATAATTTTCAGTTTTAACATCCTGAATATTAAAATAGGTATTAAAAAGTTAAAAATTTATGCTGATATAATATCAATATTTTTAAATAAAAATAGACAGCCATGCTCCGTCGCACTGACATGAAAATAATGTCGAATGAAGAATACAAGCTAAAATGGAAGGATATAGTAGCTGCGGAGGGTCAACCATACTTTTCACAGTCAAAAGACTATGGAAACTGATGTCAGAAGCCACAGAAACCGAATTTATGAAATTAGTAATAAAAGTCGAAGAAGTGAAAGAGGTATGTAAGGACTGAGCCTATTGGCGCACGGTCCTTTATGTCTACCTCGTAGGGTATCCGGCATTAAGATATAGATACTTAGAGATAGCAAAATGTCACTTGTATCAATAATAATAAAACGAAGAAATAATATTAATAATGACACATTGGTATGTGAATATAAAAATTGTAATTTAAGTTTGTAAATGCGAAATAACTTACAGCCCATTTAAGATGTCTATTCAATAGAAAATATTGCAATTGAAATTGAGTTTTTAAAACTAATATTGACAATTATACAAACACAGGCAATCAAGATTATTTAAAAACCTAAATTTGTATCTCACCTGTCTTGAAATATTGTAATGATTAAAGTATTCCCTTATTTATCGAGTCACATTAAAAATTAGATAACACAAGTAATTTAATGAAGTAAATATTTATTATATGATGTTCAAAGAGAAATAGTAAGCAAAATAACAAAAGTAAAACGCATATTTCTGCGTTTTTTTTTCATGATAATCTAGATTTCGAAAGTTTAACTCAAAATCAAAATGCTTACAGTTAAATAACTCAGTAAAAAGGAACCTAAATGAATATTTGTTCTTTTTTATTTGAGGTCTACTGCGATAGTTTATTTCAAATCTTATCACCTACATCTGAGTTCATGAATTAATAATATCACAAAGTAGTTTAAGGTTTCATATAAAACAGACTTGCGAATTAAAAACAGTAATTAATAAACATTATTGAA